AAAAAAAAAAAAGGCAAAGCAGAGCATGGCACACTGCGAAAACCTCAATGGGACCTGAAACGCGCTTCAAGGACGTCTTGACAGGGGAGCAGATAAACACCAAGAGGGTTAAATATTAAATTCAAAGGTGTTTGGAGGTCCCTCTCCTCTGGCCTTGAAACCTAATTCCAGCTGACATAGAAGACAGGCTCCCCAAGACTCCAGCACGTTTCCATTTCTCAGCGCTGTCCCACCAAGACGACTCTCCTCCGCGGATTCTGAGGCCCGGTCCACAGGCTGCCTCCTCCAGGAAGTCTTCCCGACCTACCAAGGCAGAACTCACTCTTGGCTCTGCATTCTGCAGGAAGCTCGCTCACACCCTGGAACAGACACATGGACCTTGCTTTCCTGTTCTCCCTGGCCCACCAGAGCAGGGGCTGGTTTAACAGAGGCTGCGTGTTCACCCCTGGCCCAGCACCATGGGCGGGATAGCTGGAGGACAGGCCCAGGAAGGGTTCTGTGAGCACCTGAGGACACACAGATGCATGGAGGCCTCGTGATAACCACCCTAAAGGGAGAAACTGAGGACAGGGGCAGGCCACTGAACAGCAATCGATAAAGCCCCATCTCTTCGCAAAGGTTCCAGCTATATACACAGACTGGACGGTGCAGTGTGGATGTAGGGTCCAGTCCTTGGTGGACCCGGGAATCTGGCCTGGGGTCTAGAATACAAGAAACAGTGGGGCAGAATGATAATGGGGGCCGATGGCCACACAAAGGGCCCCTCTCAAGGGGCCCCTCCCCTCTCTGGGCTGCACTCACCACATATGGCAAGATCTGGCCCAGTGTTCTCCATCCTTTCACAGACGTGCAGCCAGAGAGGCCCTGGCTTCTAGCGGGTCATTCTCTTTGATAAACTCTATGCTTAATGGCTGCTCCACTGGCAAGTGGTGGGGTGAGGGCAGTTTCAGGCCCTCGCCTCCAGCCTGGGGGAGCCAGACTCCTGATGATGGGCAGGACCACTCTGCCTGCCAGACACTGACCAGCTCGAAGGAGCGGTGAGGCAGGCAGAGGCGACAGGAAGGGGGGGTCTCTGGCACCCACTGAGCACCTGCCATGTGCTAAGCCCTGTTCTAGAGACTAAGGTGTTATCGACAACACAAAACCCCAGAGCCCTGCTCTCGGGAAATTACACCCTAGAGGGAGAGAAACCTGCAATGCAACAGACATGAAAAAGCGCATAGCCCAGGAGGTGAAAAATGCTATAAAAAGCAGCAGAGTCGGAGTAGGACAGAGGCTGCACTAAGGTGGCCTTTGGGTGAAACCTGAAGGAGCAATTCTGGAACATCAGGGGAAAGCGCTCCTGGGAGCGGGAGCAGCCAGTGCGCAGGCCCTGGTGGCATGAGGCCCTGCTGCATGAGGTCAGACTGCGGGGGAGGGCGGGACACCAGGGAGCAGGGGAGAAGCTCTCAGGGGCTGCAGGTGGAACCGGGTCCCCACCCGACCAGCTCGCGTGGGGCCAGAGACAGGCAGCACCCCGCAACACCCGGTCCTGGGAGCCAAAGGGCCCCGCCAAGAGGCCTTTCCTCCCAGCACCGCCACAGGAAAGAGGGGCGCAGTTTGTCCAGGACCTGGGGTCCCCAGCTGATTTCCCAAGGAGGGGTGTCCAATGCAGACAGTTAAAAAAACACAGGAGAGGGTCCTCCCTGGTGGTGCAGCGGGTTAAAGCACAGCACTGAGAAGCTAAAGCCGCTTCAGCATGAGTTCGATCCCCGCCTGCCCCGGAGGTGACCACATGGCGCGGCAGACCTCTCCTGACCCGCCCGCTGCTCCCCTCAGCAGAGTACCTCGTCAGTCGGCCTGTTCTGCTCCCCACTCTGTCTCTGGGGAATCCTCTCACCGCCCTTGAGCCTCTGGCCTGTACCCCAGCTCTGTGTGCATAAATAAATAAATCTTAAAAAAACAAAACAAAACAAAACAAACCAGGAAAATCAGAGAAGAAATCCAGAGATTCGAGGTACAAAATGGAAAGAGGGTTCTGAGCCAGAAGGGGTGGACAGGAGAGATCTGAAAGCAACTTAAAAGCACCCGAAGTGATTTCTCTCATGCACGGAGCTGCCCCTGAGTCCCACCCAGGCAGAACGGATGATTCCTTGGTGCAGGAGGACAGTTTGAATGTTGGCACCCACTTTTCTAGGTCAGAGGAAGAGGGCCCAGTGCCTGGCATCTCGGGATCTCTAGTGTCACTGTCTGTGAGCTGGGGGGGCGGGCAGGGGGGTGCGGCCAGCTCTTCTGTCCTATCCCAGCACCTGGCTCCACTCTGGTGTACTGGCCGAAACCAAAAAAAATCCCCAAACTGTGAAATGCTATAAATAACAGTCCAGTGTCAACACCGGCCGAAAGGAACACAGTGAGCTCCTGAGAGGTGGGTGCAGGATCAGTGAAAAAGAAATACGCCGCCCCCACCCTTTCAGGCAGCCAGGCAGAGAAGAAACCAGCTTTGTTCTTTATTTAGAAAGAAACCCAAAATGCTGTGCACATCTATTTTTAAAACTTAAAAAGACAAAAACACTTCCATAAATACGGCATTCTGCCCCTCGTGTTGGTGACTTCACGCTGGTGGAACTCCCCGCCACCTCCAACGCTCCGAGGCGCTCGCCAAACCCCCCTGCACCAGCCCCCCACTCCGGGCAGCCCACGGTGGCCACCGCCAGCGGGGCCCTGCCTGGCGGCCCACAGCTCTGGGCTCCCTCTACAGCAAGGGGACAAGCTCTTGGCTGGGCTCTGGTTCTCTACCCCTCTGGAACCAGGGGCCACTGCAGTCCTGTCACAGCGCACAACCCCAGCGGGGAGGGGCTAGGGTGGTGGGGGGCGGGGTGCCTGCCTATGGGAGGAATGACTGACTACACTCCCAAAAGCATATTTTCTTTTTCTTTTTTTTAAATTCATACAGAGCTGGGGTACAAGCCAGAGGTGTAGGGGCAGTGAGAGGCTTCACCAGAGACAGATCGGGGAGCAGAACAGGCAGTTTGACAAAGTCCACTGCTGAGGGGAGCAGCCGGCGGGTCAGGGGAGGTCTGCTGCGCCATGTGGTCACCTCCGGGGCGGGGATTGAACTTGCACTGAAGAGGCTGCGGCCAGCTTGCAGTGCTGCATCCTAACCCACTGCACCACCAGGGAGGGCCCAGATATTTTAAAAAAAGATTTATTTTATTTATTGACGCATATAAGAGCTGGGGTGCAGACCAGAGGTATGGGGGGTGGGGGAGTAAGAGGATTCACCAGAGACAGAATGGGGGGAAGAACAGGTGAATTTACTGAAATCCACTGCTGAGGGGAGCAGCAGGGAGACAGGAGAGGTCCGCTGCGCCCTGTGGGTCAGCTCCCGGCCGGGGATCGAACTTGTACTGCGGTGGCTGCAGACAGCTTCACAGAGGCCCATACCTTTCTCTTCTCCTAAAGTAATACGGGTTCACAACACTCCATGGGGCACAACACCCAGCTTCTCCCCTGGACAACTGTATGTGTCACACCACGCCCACCACCAAAGTCAACCGACTCCTCTGCCTGTGCCACCCCACCCCCTTCCCTTAGACACCCCCATTCTGCTGTCAGCCTAAAGGCTTGTTTTCTGTTTGTTTGCTTTGTTAATGTTTCACAAATGGAGCAAGGCTTTTTCCCTATTCCTCCTCACAGCTGCCTCCAGAGCAGACAACCAGAGCAAAGCCCCAAGCACCAGCCACTGCCAGCATCTCTCCACGCCCTTAACACCAGCCCCCAAATAACCAGGACAGACAGTACTGCTGCTCAGCAAAGCAGAACCCCGCTTTCCAGAGGTTACCATAGAAATCATGAGGCTCCTGACTGCCCCTGAGGTGCAGGGCTGCGGCTGGCCCTGGGCATTTGGCACGCTCGGGGTGGGGGCGGGGACGGGGACGGGTGAACCCAAAAGTCCCTGTGACTGGTACTCAGAGTCCAGGCAGGGAGGTGTCACTGCCTGGAGCCACCAGGATGGCTGGGTGGAGTCTGCAAAGCCTGGTCAGGGTTGCGGGTGGTCAAGGCTGGAGTAAGAACACCAGCGGGAGGTCGGGGATCCCCTGCTCCTGGCCCTCACAGACCCTGTGCTCGCCAGCCAGCTGCCTCCCCTCCCGCGGGAGCCCAGGGACTCAACGTGCTCGCCGCACGCCTGGCCCAGCGCCCCAAAGCTGCTGCTGTCAGGGCACAGCACTGGGCGGGAAGGCCCACTGGGATGCCACGCACCCCCACCCCACCGCACCCCACCCACCGTCTCCAGGCTGTATCCGCCACTGTCACTGCAGACAGGGTCAAGGGTGGCGAGGGCTGCCAGGACCAGGAGAGTGCTGAGGGGATGCCCCCAGGAGGGACTCCCCCAGTGTATGGAGCCCTGGCCTTTTCCGGGAGGCCCCAGAAAATGCCAGCGAGGCCTCCAGGGAACGGGGACACAGCCTGTGTGAGCTGTGGGGGCAGCAGGGGCCAGGACAGCATCAGAGTGAAGCTCCAACTTCTGGAAAACGTTCAGCAGGACGACTCACTCCATCTTTGCAAGTCACCCAGAGTCTGAAACTAGGGCTCAGCCCCAAAAGGCAGTGGGGGTGGGGAGGAGATGCCTCAGGCAAGGCCTGAAGTCTGCCGCCTCCTAGAGCCTAGCAGGAGGCAGACACAAGCTTCCGCAGGAGATTCTGATTTTCCTGCCAACAGGTACCGCACAAAGGGTCATTGATGCGCTCACTTTCTGAGGAGAGACCCATCGGCTGGGGCTCGGGCGCCTTCTGGGTGCCCAGGGCAGCCGGGGCCTCATCTGCCTCCCTCTGCGCTCGCCCCAGGGCTGGGAAGACACTCGCTTTTGGCCTGATGCCTCTGGGTAATAAACCCACCCTTTCAAATCTCCCCAAGGTGACCACGTGTTCTCACTGGGCCGGCTCCAAGCTGGCAGCCAGAGCTCAGAGCCCACAGCTGCAGGCACTGCCCAGGCACCGCAGGACGTGGGGGGCATCACTTACCACACAGCGGGTCCTTGCCAATCAGCAAAACATTGGGCAAATTCATGACGATCAGCTGCTGGAGAACTTCCTACAAAGACCAAGGGAGAAAGACACCTTCAGAACAGGAACCGAAAGAGTGAGTCAGCAGATGACAGCCTCACCGGTCCCTGCAGGAGCACACAGACACCCAAGGGAGCGCTGAAGACTCCGCGTGGCAGGAAGGCGCCCTGGGGGCTGGGGGGACATGGACTCGAGGCCGTCTGCACTGTCAAGATCATCACCAAATAAATCTCAAGTCAGCCCACGCGCTGACCTTGGGAATAAACAGATGGAGTATATGCAAGGATAAGCAGGATTAGTGTTTCTTTGCAAAAGATGTTCTTGGTTGTTTCTATTTTATGTCTGGCTGTGCAATTAAAAAAAAAAAACCAGAATAAAGGTTAAAGAAATGTTCCTGAGTGTTTAGAACCTGATGATTCAGGGCCCCACCGTTCCGGGGCCTTTCTCAGGGCAGGCGGATCTCCCCTGCCCAGACGTGTCTCATTCTTCCACGAATCAGAAGATAAAAATTCAGTTTTATGGAAGACAACTAGGGAGGGACATTGCTTAGGTATTTTTGGCCCTAAGTTGGTCACTACAGAAATTCCTCACCGGCAGCATCCCCTCAGATGGACAGACACCCTTTCTAAGTTTCTGATGGCACACATCTTTTTGCAGGGGTCACCTGATGGCTGAAGTGAGGGCTCCCTGTATTTAGTCCTAGGGCCAAGAAGCAAGGGGACATCCCCAGATGGGCTAACCCCACAGGCCTGCACCCCACAGGCCTTCCAGGGCCACCAGGCTGGAAGAGCTACCAACGGGCCAGGCCCTCCCTGGTGGCGCAACAGGTTGGGACGCAGCACTGCAGCTGCTTCAGTGCGAGTTCGATCCCCGCGCCAGAGGTGACCCACATGGTGCAGCAGACCTCTCCTGACCTGCCCGCTGCTCCCCTCAGCAGTGTACTTCATCAGTTGACCTGTTCTGCTCCCCACTCTGTCTCTGGTGAGTCCTCTCACCACCCCTGCACCTCTGGCCTGTACCCCAGTTTAGTATATATAAATGAATCTTCAAAAAAAAAAAGAGGAGCTAGCAACACCAAAGAGTAATCTTTCCTGTCTGCACCAGAAACTGGGGGAGGGGATGCTAAACCATGAGGTGTACCCCAGCCCCCTCCCTGTGCATGTTGGATTAGGTCTCTGTCAAGAGGGGGTTGGCAAGTCACCCTGTCAGAGATGGCAAATGTTTCTCCAATGCGGCTCACAACGTATGTCAGCGTGAGGCCACACTCAGCCTCAACCCTCTCAGGTTAAGGACAAGACAACCGCACACACTGGCTCTCGATGGTGGCTTCACCCACCAATTCCTTGGGCCAGAACACAGCACCAAGAAAATTAGCAAAACCCATGGCCCAGCAAAGGGAAGACCTCCCAGCCAAACGAGTCCGTCTTCATGGCGTCCTGAACCTGCCTCAGCACTGAACCCCACTGTCTTTCGCACATCTATGGGGTCTGGGCTGGCAGCCGAGCAGCTGGATCACTCAGTCCCTTTCTCGGGGTGCACAAGTTTCATGAAGGAGGATGTGAAATCAGATGGAAAGTCTCTGTAATCATGCAAAGTGGCATTTTTATACCATATTTCTAAGCAAGGGATTACTAAAACACTGCTAGAAATCATTGCCAGAAAACCCATGTAATTCTTCCAAAATTAAACAGGATGTTTAACTGTGTCTACTCAGGACTTTCTCCCACAGGAGATATGTGCTACAGTGCAATTAAGTACTCTGTTTCATGAACACATCTTTAAGATGCTCCTTTCAAAACACCACAGCTCTCCTAAGACCTAATTCCATGGCTCAGGACACTCCCGAGCCATCAGGTGCTCCCTCAAGGTCCATCAATCATGCTTCCAGCAAAAGCAGCAGTGAGAGTGTGGAGGCCACAGCAGTCCAGGAAAAAGGGAAGGCGAGGCAGGGAAACCTCTGACTCTCCAGTCTCCTTAGTGGTCGGAAGAAGAAACAGGTGGAAATAGTCTAATAATTTTACTTTAATGAGGACCTGCCTGGTGGCCTAGGGGTTAAGTTTCAGTGCTGTCACCACTGCGGCCTGAGCTCTATCAGGCCAGAGAGATGACCACACGGTGCAGAGGACATCTCCTGTCTCCCCGCTGCCCCCTTCAGTAGTGTATTTCAGTGGACCTTCCTGCTCTGCTCCCCTCTGTGTCAGCTGGGTCCTCTTACCCCCCTGGCCTACACCCCAGTTTTTCTATGCAAAAGCAAAAACCAAAAAAAAAAACCCCATATACATACACTTTGACGAAGCCAGCGCACCCAGACAGCATTTCGCCACATAAGCAACATAGTGTCCCGAAGGGGCTTCCCGTTCTGCCTTCATGCCAAGCTCGGAACCCGGCACACGGCTGACCCGGCACACGGTTGACCCAGTACACCCATTCAGGTGCTCACTTTTCACTGGACAAACCTGACCCAAAAGAGCAGGTCTGCACACCCTGCTTCCAGAGGGTGTTCCAGAAACACAAAGATCTCCCAGAAGCTCAATGGAAGTCGGTTTCAGATCTTCATTAAAATGAAAACGCCTCCTCGCCCCCACTCGCTGCACTGAGGCTGGCGGCTGCCAGCCCCCTCGGGGCTCAGCCCTCCCCAGGAGCGTGGACCTCAAGGTAGTGGGGCCTGGGGCAGCAGGCCAGGCCCTCCGTCTGCAGGGGACGTGTGGAGGCTGCTGATGAGGGGACCCTCCTGCCTGGCACTTGGAACAGAAAGCCCCTGGGGAGGCACAGCTGGCACCAGCCTGCCGGTGGGCACCTGGCCACCCCAGGCTGCATGAGGTGCGCCCCAACAAGCCTGGAGAGCACAAGCCCAGCGGGGTGCTCTGAGCAGCCCCCACCACTTGCCATTTGGTCTTTTGCAAAAGGAGAAGCAAAAGCTGCTGCCACGCCAGCTGCAGGAGACACAGGCTGGGCACCGTGGTCTCGAGAGCAGAGACAGGTCGGTGGTCAGGGCAGGACCGGGCGAGACCTGGATGCAGGGTGCTCTGAAGCCCCTTCCCCTCCCTCTTCTGCTCCATGTGTTCTCAGATCCAGATGAGACAGTATGAACTGCACCCCAGAAGGCCCACTGGCAACCCTCTAAGCAAATCAGAAGAGCCACAGAAACCGACCTGAAGCAGGAGTACTTGAGTCTCAGCAGCAGGGACTGGCCTCTGTACAAAGGGGTGAGAACCCAAACATACGTGGCTGGCTGCGAACCCCACTGTAAGTCAGGATCCTATTATCGATTAGCACCTCCCTCCCCCGCAGAGCTGCCAAGCCAGAAAGGCGGCCCCACACCGGGAGGAAGGGGGCCGCAGGCAGACAGTTCCAGGCAACGTCTGTCACCCCAGCTGGCGAGTCCCGGGGGCTGCATCTGTTGTCAACAAGTCCAGCCAGCAGCCCTGGGGTTCCCCGGCTTCCTGACAGGCCCTCAGGAGGGAAAGCAAGGGTGACCTGGGGTGCCAGGCTGGTCACAGGTCGGGGGCATACGTTCTCAAGGCCCCGCGAGCAAAGGTCTAGAACAGAACCAGGAGGCCAGTGGAAGGCAAACACCTATTAGAATCCTCTGCAGAATCCTGGCAGGGTTGGGGGGAGGGGGGAAGGTGGACATCCAGGACAGGGGTGGGGTCCTTTGCAGGTCAACAGCCCCTGGTGACAGCACACACCACGGTGAGGATGACAAGCAGGCTCCAGATTACTGGCCACGTGCAGCACATGCCTGACCACTGTGGAGTGAGTGTCCAGCCGGGTGGACACTGGCCCTCCTAGTTACCCCGCAGCAAACAAGCCCACTGCCCAGTCCGGGCTCCACGGAGCCCACGATGCCCTCCCCCCTGAAGCTGTCTCCAGGGCTCACCTGTGCCCGCCTCCTCCTCTCCTGCCCCCCAGCCTTGGCATGGGCCAGCCCTTACAGTGACAGTCGACAGACACTGTTTTCGGTTACGTCTATTCATGATTCAGCAGGAGAAAAAAAACACATTATCAGAAACGAACATGGAGAGAAAATAATTTACCCAGCACAGATATTGCCAGCTTGCACGGTCTGTTTACCAGGTCGAGGGCCAGTGACCCCACAGGTCAGGGGTCAGCGGCCTGGGAAGAGCATCTTCTGCGGTCGCCTCCACTAAGCTGGCAGGGCCTTAGGGGACATGCAGGAAGCTTCCCTGTGGCCAGTCTCTCTCTGGGGGGGCCAGTCACTCAACCAGGGGTTCCAAAATGACCTCGTTCTTTGTCCCAGGCTTCACCCTTGGTTTGGCAACAGAGGGACTCAGCTCAGGCTCCTTAACATGACCTCTGAACTCACTTCCGAGAGAAAGGGTTGGACCCCAAACTCTCAGAGGTAAACTGTAAGCTTCCCATTGAAACTGTCAACAGCAGACGGGGGAGGAATAAAAAGCATCAACAGCAGGATATGGACTGGCTGCTTGGAAGGCTGAAAATACTCCCATCTAGACCTCAAAATATAAACTGGAGAGGACAGGTGCGTGACGAGGGAATGCAGCCTCGGGCCCCGCCACCAGCGGGCACCGGAGAAGGGGCAGGAAGGCAAAAATGAGACTGAACAAAAGGACACCTGGGGCCGTGCAGTATCGGGAGGGAAAGGAAATGCACCCGAATAACCCGGCTGGAGTGAGGAGGGAGAGTAGGTTTTCCCATTTGCTAGCAACTCAGTGAAGTGATCAAATCACTTTCAGCAAGAAGATTAACCCTCCTGGTTAATCTTCTGATTCTCGGAATGTATTTACCGGATACTGAACTGTGGATAGGAACGGTACAGTAAAAAATGCCCGTTTTAAAACAAGGTGCCCTCTCATGTGAGACAGAGTCCCGCATCCGAGGTGAAACGTGATGTGGACGACTGTTGCACATCACTCTCCACCCTAGCCAGGACGCACCCCCATCAAGGGGCACGCAGCCCCTGCCACTCTGGAAGAGGCCAGCCCACACCAGGTGGCCGATGGGGGCGAGCGGGGGCCCTGAGGGAAGGGTGAACCCCCAGAGACC